GGTGGCTCGGTCAGTTAAGTGCCCCATCTTTTTCTTTTTTTCTTTCTAAAGATTTTATTTATTTACTCATGAGACACACACACACACAGAGAGAGAGAGAGAGAGAGAGAGAGAGGCAGAGACATAGGCAGAGGGAGAAGCAGGCTCCCCTTAGGGAGCCTGATACAGAACTTGACCCCAGGACCCCAGGATCATGACTTGAGCCACAGGTGGATGCTTAACCACCGAGCCACCCAGGCATGCCAAGTGTCCCACTCTTGATTTTGGATCATGATCTCTGGATTGTGGGATTGAGCCCTGCATCTGACTCTACACTGGCCATGGAGCTTGTTTATGATTCTTTCTCTCCTTCTCTCTTTGCTCCTCCCCTGCTCTCTCTCTAAAAAAAAAAAAATAATAAAATAACAAATAAAAAATAAAATTAAAACCTTTGAAGAGAAAAAATCTCTAATAAATCAACTTCCAAATATTATTTTTCTTCCCTCTTAGACACTCATTTGCCATCTTTTCTGCCTAGATTTCCACTAAGCTAATTGGATCCTGTATTTTGCCCTTCCTCATAACTTTTCATGATCCAGAATGCTCTGGAGATGATTTAATAAAGGAACTATTTATAATATTTTTAATTTCATGAACTAATGTATAACAAAATACATAAGGTAATGAAAATATATTCGGAGATATAATCTAATCAAAGTCACAAAACTTTGTTGGTAGATTTTAATAAACATTAATATGTATGAACAAATGTTTCTTGAGAGTAAAAGAATTTTTTTCTCTCTCTCTCAAGAATCTCTCTACTTTCCAGAGTTCATGTTTTCTTCATTGCCTTTTATTAAAAGGGGGAGGTGGGATTGATTTGTTTACCAAGATGTCATCTTGTTCTTCTTCCTTTCACATATTTTGAGAAACTTTCATTTAGGTTATTCTTATCACCATGTGTATTATTCTGTTATATTTTAACTGGAAGCTCTTTAGGATAAGGATTGTCCTCTATCAATGGAGTGATGTTTATTTTTAGTGTTCAGTACTTTCAAAACCTCTTTTTTTTTTTTCAGAGAAGCTGCAATAGTCATAGGATAATACTCCTCCAAAAAGGTAGATCATGACATGAGAAATTAAATAGTCCCATAGGGTAGAAATATTTTTTAAAAAGTAAGAAAACACAGAGGTTAGATATGAGTTTAGTTCTGAGTCGGTTACTGAAGAGGTACGGGGTGGTACAAAGAGGATATGTTATTGGGAAATAGCTCCTTTGGGAGGTGGAGGCATTGAGAAGAAAATGAAATTCAATAACCATTTTGAGTACTGACTCAAGGGTGGGAAGGATTCAGTTATGGGGAAGACATGACTCCCAGCATCCTGCAGTAAAGGAGACACACCTGTACAACTAAAAGGCAAAACAGACCAGGATAAGGCAATTAAGTTTCAGACAAAGGACATTCTAGGAAGATTTTTAGAAATATACTATTTTACTCATTAAGGGTGAAAATTATCCAGAGAACTCAACATTCTAAAGTATGAAGCTGCTTTTAAGGGCTCCCAGAAGGCATGAGGGCCAGTCTTTCCACCAAAGTAGAAGCATACCTCATTTTGTACATACATCTTAGTTTTTTACTTACGGCTTTCCTAAATTTGGGGACATATAGAATTGTATTTAAGATTTTTATTTTTAAAAAAGATTTTATTTATTTATTCATGAGAGACACACACACAGAGAGAGAGACAGGGATACAGACAGAGCAGAAGCAGGCTCCCCTGAGGGAGCCCAATGTGGGACTTCATCCCTGAACTCTAGTATCACACCCTGAGTCGAAAACAGAGCTTAACTGCTGAGCCATCCAGGCATCCCTGTACTTAAGATTTTAGGTTAGCATTTAAGCACTGTGAATGTGATTTCTTAAGATACACATTTTATTTTAAAGATTTATTTATTTTGGTAGGGAGAGGGGCAGAGGGAGAGAGAGAGAGAATCTCAAGCAGAATCCCCTCTGAGCACAGAGCCCAACCACCTGAAGATCATGACCTGAGCTGAAATCAAGAGTCTGATGCTCAACCTCCTGAAGCACCCCAAGATACACATTTTTATTAAGTGACTCTCTATCACCTTTTGAAATATGCCTGGCACTAATGAATCTTATAAAATCAAAGATTTTCCGATAAAAGGAATCCCCATACAATATATGGCCAACCTAAAGACTTCTTAATAGTACACAGTCAAAAAGTCAAATACTATAGCTAGACTAACAGTAGATTTCTAAAGTTATTATGGCATTAGAAAGATTCACTTTAGATTTTAAAATTTCTAATGATAGCACAATATAAAGCCAATAGCTCTTGATTTTCTTGCTATGTGACCAGTGATGGTCATGTGGAACATTTCCTGCTAGTTATTCATTGACTTAAAAAAAAAAAAAAGGCACTTTTTCCAGAGACTGGGCAGGAGATAAGATGTCAAGAAGTAATAAGTAGCAAAATGAAAGAGGAGAATGCAAAGGCACCAAAAAGAGAAAACATTAAAGTGATGGGGTTTTTTTTTTTTCCCTGTGTATGCAGATGGACAGGAAAATTATAGCAGTAATTGCAGACTTCTTTTCACCAAAGACAGACTGGCCTTGGGGAATTAGAGTAGGAGAGAAAATGTCCAATGAAACTGCATTCTCATCCAGGCCCCACCTGACTTGCTGGATATGGCTTTGGCCAAGGTCATTTACTCTTTCTGTGCCTTAGTTTCCTTAAATGTTGAAAGAGATGGTTTGCTTTTTTGAGGTACTGGAAAGATGAATGAGATAAAGCTTCAGGAGGCATCCAAGAGTGGTCAAAAAAGGTGTTATAGGAATATCAAGTAGTACTATTATTATTGAACTGTGTATCCTGTTGGAGTGAGTCATCTTGCTGCAAAGATGCATAAGCAATTTCAAGTGCGGCAGGGGACCAGAGACAAAGAGAAGAGGCGAGTTCTCCTGGGTTGTGTTATAGGAGATCTCAGTCGCATTGAAATCTGCCCTTTGCCTGTTTAAAGAGCAAAAAGGGTGGGGTGCAGAGGAAACAAGACTTTAAAAATAAGTACAGCAATGTGGTCATAGAAATAGACTTTTTAAATTCTAGAGCCAGTCTGAATCCCTGCTTTGTCCCTTATAACTGTGACCTTGGGCAAATTATGGTTTCTCTAACCTTAATTTTTTTGCATCTGTAGAAAGGGGATTAATTATCATAGCATCTCTACGGCTGTGGGGATTTACAAATCTGCATCGTGGCGAGGACTCCGAAAAGTTGGCTACCATTGTAGTTCATGGGAGGTAGAGGAAAGTAGAAATCCAGACTGGAAACAACCGAATCTCTTTAAAAAGAAAGAGAGAGAGAGAGAGAGGGAGAGAGAGAGAAAAGTCAAGGTTTTATTCTATAAAATATTAGGATTTAAGGGGCCTGCGAAGAGGCAAACTTGTTTTTGTCAAGTCTGAATTCTACTACTTCACGGGCCCACGGTAACTAGTGAAACCTCTGGTATCTGGCTCGCAAGGCACAAACAGGGGAAGCCTTCCGTGTGCTTCAGCAGAACAGTTTTCTATTTTAAAGCGATATATGTGTATATATGCGTATTTTTGAAAGACCTCTGAGACCCAATAGCTCTAAAATAACAAAGCTCGGCTGCTGAGCTCCCGTTGGTTGCAAAGGGAGGGGAGGGCAATCTGCGGCGCGGGGATTAGGCTCCCTTCGACTCCCGCTCCGGGCGGGGAAGCCTTCGGGGGGCAAAGCCCCGGGGGCAGGACGAGGTGGTTTTTTTTTTTTGTTTTTTTTTTTTTTTTTTTTTTTAATCGATCCCGGAACCTCGGTGCGTGCGGGCGGGGCGCGGGGCGGGGGGAGCGCGGGCGGGGCGCGGGGCGCGGGGCGCGGGGCGCGGGGGGCGGGGCGCGGGGGGCGGGGCCTGGCCGCGGGGCGCGGCGCCACTCGCCCATCCCCCGAGCGCGCGGCGGGGCGTCCGGCCGGCGGCCGCGGAGGATGCGGAGGGGCGGCGGCGCGGGCGCGACCCAGCCGGGGCGGCGGGGCGGGCGCCGCCCGAGGGGGTAGGGCGCGCGCGGGGGCGCGCCGGGCCGGGGAGGCGCGCTCCGGCCGCGCTCGCTCCGCGCCGCCTGCGCCCGCTCTCTCGCTCCCGCTCTCTCGCTCTCGCCGTCTCGCTCGCTCGCTCGCTCGCTCGCTCCCTCCTCCCTCGGCAGCCGCGGCGGCAGGCCCGAGAAGAAGGCGGCGGCGGCGGCGGCGGCGGCGGCGGCCTCGGCCGGGGAGCAGACATGGCGGCGGACCTGAACCTGGAGTGGATCTGCTCCCTGCCCCGCTCCTGGACGTACGGGATCACCCGGGGCGGCCGCGTCTTCTTCATCAAGTAAAGAGCCGGGGACGGCGCGAGGGGCCCGGGGGGCGCGGGCGGCCGGCGGGAGGGGCCGAGGGAGCCGGTGCGAGCCGCTCAGCCCGGCCGGCTCCCCCGGCGCCCCCGCTCACGCGCCGCCTCTGCCCGTTCTCTCCTCCCCGCAGCGAGGAGGCCAAGAGCACCACCTGGCTGCACCCCGTCACCGGCGAGGCCGTGGTGACCGGACACCGGCGGCAGAGCGCAGGTAACGCGGAGCTCGGGCCCGGGCGGAGTCGGGCTGCGCGGGCAGGAGGCGGCAGAGCCCCGGCCGCCCCCCGGCGACCTGCCCCGGCGCGCAGCCCTGGGGCGAGGCCGGCGGGGCGGGGGCGGGGGCGGGGGCGGCCGCAGCCGCAGGTAGGGGCCGCCGGACTTCTCCCGAGTCCCAACGCCTCCCCGCCCGCCGGCCTTCGGTCGCCCCTTGCAGACGGCGCCCCCAGCGAGACCGCCTCCCCTCTCCCAGGAGGTCCGCGCTCCCGAGCCCCCCCCCGCCCCCCGGCACACACCGCCCCCTGATCTCGCCCCCTGATCTCGCCCCCTTTCGGCCTTTGGGAAGCCCTTTCCCCCTCCCGCCCTTGCAGCCCGGGACCCTGGCACCCACCCGTCGGCCGGGATAATGGTCTCCACATCCTCTTCCCTGCTCCCCGGACAGCTGCCTCCAGTTGTGCGGCTGCCTCCTCCTCCTCCTAGGTGGGACTTGTGGGTGGGTGACTGATGGAGGAGGAGGGGAAGAGGACTTGGGGGGGTGGGGGGGGGTGCTGCGCTGCGATCCTCTGTGTGACACTGACTGGTTCGGGCAACGCCTGGCGCTCTTCCTGCGGCCGCCCGAGCAGCAGCCGGAGCCGGAGGAGGCCCTGGCAGCTGCAGCTGGTGGCCGGCGAGATTCAGAGTCCCCGGCAGCAGCCCGGAGGTTGCACAGAACCGCCAGCAGGCGGTGGGCGTGCTGGGGGGTGTCGCGCGTGGGGCCGTTTGTGCCCTGGTCGCAGAGGGTCGGCGGGGAAGCGGACCTCTCCCCGGGGCCTTCGCTGGCCTGTTTCGAATACCGACTAGGAGTGGAGCTGCAGAAAAAGGGTTGCGTGTAGCCTCAGTGCCGGTCTGGCTTTCTTTTGTCGTTCTTTGTTTACATTCGTGGAACTTGTTTGCCTTTGAAATGGAACATGTGTTCTCTCACTGGCCTGCCTCTCTGTTTCTGGTGGTTGGAAAGGCTGGAGAACTGTTTGGGTCGAAGGGGAGGCTGGCTTCAGCCGTCCCTTAGAGGTGCCCCCTGGGATACTTTCTCTCCAACTCTGAGATTCTGAGTGTCTTCGTAGAGTTGCCAGGGTCTCGAACAAGCCTGCCTTCCCTATTAGATTCTGGAGTTCAGTGAAGTGACTAATATCCGAATTTCCAAAAAGGTGGAGGAGGAAAGGGAAAAGCTGGTGTAAGCAAGCATGATGAGGTTACATTTTTAAGGCGTTTCTGACTAATACACTGTCATGTTTCTTAACTCCCCACCGCAGTCTTCGACTTCAGTATACCTACTTCAGTGGTTTTTGCATATACATTTCGACTCTCATGGCCTCTTGCCTTATAGATAACAGATTTATTTCACAAAAGACAGTAAGGTATTGAAATTACTTAGCCTAATCGTCTTGTGGAATTATTTCACACTTACTTTGGTTATATGTAATATGAATTTGTATCCTGTTTGCCTCCACAGATTGGATGACATTCATACTATAGGGAAATTTTATTCTTTTAATATGATTTCACATTAATTTCCAAGACCTGATCATGATTTTTTTTTTTTTTTTTTGATTTGGTTCACTTAGCTTTGACTTTGTGGTTTTGTACACACATCATTGGTTTGCATTTCAGAGAGATGTTATGGTTAAATTCAGGCCACTTGCCACCTGTAATGTGTAACACATAAAATGGCCATCATTCACCTGAATTGTTCCCAGATTTATTACTTGAAACTTCATGTCTGTAAAAGTCAAGTCTATAGAAATACACAGGTATTGAGTATGTAATGTCAGTTTTTTCTCCCTAATTAAGTACTTATAGGATGTCCTTTCTCATCAGTGACACACTTCCTGAATAGATTCGTTTATGCAGCTGAAAGGTATGGTCTTAATAGACAGTATACCTAAAAAGAAGCAGGTGTTGCCTTTTATGCAGTTTTTGTTTGTTTCTGGATGCCAGTGGGTAGTTCTTTTCACTCTGATTGTTAAAGTATATGATTATGTAAGGTAGTCTCTGATATTGTTCATACTTTTCTGGTGGCTTTGAATTTAATAGCCATTTTCCCAAAAATGATATTTTGTTTGACTATGAGTTTTGTTACTAGTTCAACTTTTTTTTTTTTAGAAACTTACGTAATAAATGAAAATAGCCGATCATGAAAATGAGTAATTAAAATGGATTGAAACCTATTTTGCTATCCTATTGAGATACTGCTAACTGTGAAATGTATGTTTTTTAGATTTGCCTACTGGCTGGGAAGAAGCATATACTTTTGAAGGTGCAAGATACTATATAAAGTGAGTTTTTTACTTGTGATTTTTTTCCTTGGTAATTTGAATGTTGTAATTAATCATCAGTTGAATAGTTGTATCTCTAGATATGATCATGATTTTTTAAGGTCTATAATATTGACTTTATTCTTTATGTAGTGTTGTAATTCTGAGAGGAAAGGCAACACTCATAATTTTATTTGCCTGGACGCTCATTCATTTGGAAATTAGATCATTTATGCCCACAATTATACTTTTGGTGCTTCTCTCTATATATTCATGGGTGATCGAGCATTATAGTATTTTGTCTTTAGCATGCTACCACATTTTTTTTTCTTTTAAAGTGAATTCTGTTCGAATTCTGTTCATGTGTATTTTGACCAGAAGAAGCAAAAGTGACGTGAAGCTAGGTGACGGTTGGATGAACAATGACAGAGCTGAAAGTAAAAACAAAGAACTGCTAATTATTTCACAAATGTCTTTGGAGCATTGTAATTTGCTTAGTTTATTTAAATATATCTAGGTCTTTAAAATACAAATATTTTGTGGTTGTTTGTGATTGAATAAAAGCCTTTCACTAGAGCTTACAAAAAAGAGATGACCAGTCTTGATTTTTAATTCTATAAAACATTGAACTAATTTCTATTCAGTGTTCATTTTTATTTTTTTAAGATTGTTTTTATTTATTCATGAGAGACAGAGAGAGAGAGAGACAGAGAGAGAGACAGGCAGAGACACAGGCGGAGGGAGAAGCAGGCTCCATGCAGGGAGCCTGACGTGGGACTCGATCCCTGGTCTCCAGGATCAGGCCCTGGGTTGAAGGCGGCGCTAAACCGCTGAGCCACCGGGGCTGTCCTCAACGTTCATTTGGTAGTACTTGGAGACAAATACAATACTTGTTGTCAACAGTATGTAGGAAACTTGTTTTACCCCTCAAGGGGAAAATAAAGGTGGCTTTCATCTTTGTTTTAAATTAGAAACTACTTACTTAAGAGCTTTTTGTTGTTGTTGTTTTGAAATTTTCTGATTAATTTTAAGGAACTGAGGCTGGGAAGAGAACACTTAAATACAAGATTTGGTTTAGATGTCAATAATTTATTAATTGATAACATACCTAGCTAAAGTCACCTTTATTTCATCGGGCCCTGTAAGGTATTTTACTAAGTGTTATTTTTAAGATCACACCATAATTCCGTTAAATTATAATTACTTGGATGGTTTTAAAATTTTTCAGAATGATATTTATGTAAAATGTCAGGGGATATTTATAGGTATTAGGAATGCTTCCATTTGGATGTAGAAATAGAGAAGGCAGAAGTAAGATCCAGGAATGGAGTATTTTATGATGTAGCTCTTCTCTGGGTATCTTTCAGTTACATCTTTTATTTAGATTTTTTGCTGTACATTATTAGATGACCTAAAAAATAAAGGCATAAGTAAAGTGCGGAGTCACCAAGTCTTTTCCTGGTGGCTATTTTCATTTCTGTATTAACGTGAATTTGTATTGCCATGTAAAGGGATGCTTCATTTTTTTGGACTTGGTATTGATATCTCTGAAAGAAGTTTTTTTCAATAGGGTTCATTTATTTTTATCTGCTATAGTTTTACTGTACATGAAACTTAGCTAATCTTACAAAATAGGAGTAACACTGTAATTCTCAGTAATATTTTAATTCCTGTGAATGTGTACATTCTTAGATGAGCGTTTATATGATAGTACAAAATGTTATTCTGTGTGGGCTGAAAATGTTTTATTTCAGAACTGAGCTGTTAGGCTGAATTTTCTTTTGTTCCACTAGCCATTTTGATGAGATTTTCTTTTATGTTGACTTAAACAAATTAGATTCTTCTTTGAGTGTCATGCCCAAGTAAGTTTCTCAGGAAAACGAAGGCAGTGTTAAGAAGGCTGTAATAATTTTATTTTAATTCTGGAGACATTTTAACTACTGGTTTTAATCATGTGGTTTTACTAGACAACCAATAATTGCCTGAAAGTAGTCATAATTTATATTATGAAAATTATTTGTTCTAAAATTGAGCATGTTATAGAAATGTCACTCATTAAACTTCTTTGAAGTAAAATGATCATTGTCAAATATGTGACGTGCTAAATGTTAGGTGCTACTACTTTTCCTTTCTGGATGTTTCAGACTAATTTCTTTTAAGATTAGTTAAATCACTAACAAAGTCCATAATTTCCTAGAAGTTTTTTGCTTATTGTATATGAGCAATTAGGGATGCTTTGTGATTCTCATATGACAAGGGCACTACTTTTATCTTAAACTTTGCGTTTTACCAAGTGCTTTCACGTACACTGTCATGTCTGAATCTCATTTTCATGGAAGTAGTCAGAAGAATTATTATTTCCATTGTCATACCACATAATAAAACAACAGGAACATGCCTTTGGAACTTATAGGCTGCAAAGACAGTAATATGAGAAACAGCAGGAACATAAACTATATTTAGAGTGTCCAGAGAAGAAAGGATAGGAGTGTGAAGTAGGAAAGTGATTAATGTTGGTGGATGTATTTCTCATTGTTGGTTCTTTCTTAGATGAAGAAAGGAGGTTATTGATCAGATTATAAGAAAGGATGTAATATAGTGAACAGGGTGGGTTTTGTTCTCATGGGAACAGGGAAGATAGGTCAATAAAAGACATGTTAGCCCTCCTGCTGTTCCTAATCTGGTGTTCCTTGGAGTCTCCCTTAGCAAGAAGAAAGACCTGAAGAACTTGAGTTGTTTATACTTTTCATAAGGTACATTTAATTCTCAGATTATTTCTTTTCTGAACAAATGGTGGTTGTTCAAAATGGCACATTGCCAGAAAGAATTTATTTTTGGATAGTACGTTGGTGTTGACTATTGCGTCTCTGGGGGTAAGGGAAAAGAAAGAGGATTGGAGTGGGGATGTCAGAAGAGTTGGGCTGTTTCTTAACCTTCTTAAGACTGTGGAACTCAGTCTTCATGCCTTTAAATTAGGCTGGCTGGAAATGGCAACTTCTGAATTCCCTTTTAAAATTTCTTTGGATTTTATAATATTTTGGGAAATTTGTAATAGTCTACAAAATGATGAACTCTGGGGCCAAGAAGACATGATGTGGGAAATATGGAAAGCTACTTAGCTTTCCTATCATGCCAACTATTTTAAAACTTTGCATAGTTAACCACAGATGAGTGTGA